GATTCCCTCCAGTTTCTATTCGCACACTTTATCCATCTTCCACATGAAGAACTTTGGATGTAAGTTCTTCCTCAAAACATGCTACAATTCTGGTAACAACACGTAGATTAATAGAAAAGATTGGCACCTCACTCGTGTATGTGTACAAACATGCCTGGAGTAGAAAAGGAATTCTAAAATTTAAAAGACCCAAACTAGGTTTTGTTGTTCCTGTTTATTAACTTTGAAGCTCTGTGGGGAAACAAAGTAGGAAAAAAGAAATGAGGAAGCCCTTAGAACTATTCTGTGTTCATGAAAATATTAGCTTACATTTTAAAATGCATTATTTGAACTTACAGGAATCCATATTGTACATATTAGTTCAAAATAATATATTTCAAATGTTTCTGTTCTTTACTAACAGCCTCAAGACTTAGAAATGTATGAGGCTGCTCTGGTTTAAATTAATTTAAAAGCAATATTGAAATATTTGAGTTCCTGTAATGAATGGTATTGCTTCACCATGTTTTGGTGAAAAAACAAAATCCCACTCAATTGTTTGAAACCTCATTCATTTTAATCTGCTACCTGACTGTTGTTTCTAAAACCATCATTATACTGCCTCCTTTTCAAAGACAGCATTTAGAGAACCCACTGAACACCAACACCTTGCAAACACCTCCCTGTGATGTTGCAAGGATTTCTCAGTGTATATTCCTCCGTCTCATGATGCAAAGCACCAGAAGAGAGAAAAGCAATTACGCTAACTGCTTGTCAGTGGTAAGATCTTGCACTCAGTGAGTCATTACCCCTACAAATTGTCAGCCAGGCTGTATCGGTGAGACAAATAACATTATGAGAGGCTATTTTAAATATATATCTTGAAATAAGGCTGTGCCTTAAAGTCAGGAGAGTTTTACATTTCTCTTTTATATACACTGACAAGGTAGAAAAGCTGTGTGAGAAACACCAGAGTGGGCATTTAAAATACTGCCTTTTACAACAGGAGTTTAAAAGTGACTCTCACAACAAAATACACTAATGGAAATAAAATCATAGAATCATAGAATGGTTTGGTTTGGAAGGGACCTCAAAGATCATCTAGTTCCAACCCCCTGCCATGGGCAGGGACACCTTCAGTTACACCAGGTTGCTCAAAGCATCATTCAACCTGGCCTTGAACACTGCCAGGGATGGGGCAGCCACAACTTCTCTGAGCAGCCTGTGCCAGGGTCTCACCACCCTCATGATACAGAATTTCTTCCTAATATCTACCCTTTTTCAGTTTAAGTCTATTACCCCTTGTCCAATCAGAAAACTTGTCCTATTAAAATCCAATGTCCCGTGTTATCTATCACAGCCCTATGAAAACGGAGTTCATAAAAAGTGTGGTTCTTGATACACATAAACATTTATACATCTACAGCTGCAGGCAAACACATATAATACAGTGCAAACCCAAGCCAAGCCTAAATATGAGTCCTATGCAATAAATCCGATGAAACTGTAAAGGCCTTTGGGGCACTGTTTGGCCCTGACCAACCTCACCTTGGCCTCAGTCTGTGCCCATGGCCCAGGAGCTGCATTTCAGCTCAGCCACTGCTTGAGCTGCGCTGTAGGAGCTGGCTGTGGACCCTGTTGATCCTGGTCCCTGGAGGGACTTCCCAGCTTCACCTTGCAACTGCCTAGCAATTGCTGGACCTGACCCTGAGCTGTGGATTGACTTCCTGGCTTGGCCTCAGACCTGCCTCATCACCACAAACTTGGCTAGCGTTCTGGACTCTTGCTCAACCTCGGTTGCCAGCAAGTGGGTTTGGCCAGCTCTCCCTGTGCTGTGGGACAGGGCCCTGGCTAGTGAGGCCTCTGCCTTGCTGGAGTGTCACCACTCATCTCCTTGGGAGCCACCAGCCTTTACCATGCCCTAACAGAAATACACAGTGGTGTGCGCACAACATATCTAACTTGTACCTTGGTGTACATATGCACACCCCTGTTTAACCAGACACTAATGTGTGCTGGTCTCACTCAAAAATGATGAATATAGCATTTCACTTGAGTTCCGTGGCATAACTGTTGAGTAGTAATTCAATATACTTACTTACTGATACTATCAAAATGGTATTCTCAAAAAGGCTATTCAAAGACAAAAAAAAAGCCCAGCTGAAATACAATAGTTGGCTACATTTGTATAAGCCTACTCTCAAACACAGTAAGAGGAAATCCATGGAATAATTTGGAATATAAATTGTACAACTTCTAAAAACAATTATAAAAACACACTGTCCTTTTTCTGGAAAAAACTGCAATTTGATCTGTAGCCCTAAACATTTAGAAGCACATCCTATGCTCTGCACTTGTATATAAATGGTGTTACTTCTCACTCGAGTAAACTAAATCAAGTAGAATCAAGGGTCATGCTACAATTTTTCACAGGCTAATAAAGGCTTTGATAAAACTCAACGTATTTTTCAAAATGCACCTGCTCCTAGAGTTCCAATATATCCCAATCTTCTAAAAACAGTCAGCAATATGATTGACTAGCTCCCTGAATTCTAGCAATGTGGATGATCCTCTGTATCTTCTTGGCAAAGTAAGCAGTATTAAAAGACAGACTAAGGTACATCAATTTCTGAACAAATATTTTGCAAACAAAGAAGTATGTTAACCCTGGGGGTAAAAAAAAAAAAACAACAAAACACAAACCAAAACTTATCTAATTACTCCTCATTTACCTTTTCACATTAAATATCTAGCATTCATAAGTGCAATAATAAAGAAGTGCACCTCCTCGTCTTTTTTACTGTAAAAACTGTGACATGAGATAAAGGACATTATGAGGATATTATGAGGTTGAGAGGATAAAGGCTAAAGAAATCTATATAAGTTCTGATGAGCTGACGGTTCATTGGAGGTTAAAAAGATCGTTAGCATTCATAAATACTTCACTTCCATTTAATGAGACATTGATCCATTATTAATCCAGACATGCAATACACTACTTAGATCTGTGTAGGTGTGTTAAATAATTTGAATGTTTATTTCTGTCAAAACACAAATATGACAACACATATATACATAACAAATTATGTACAATGTCCTTCATTACTCTGTAACAACAACACAATATATGAATGAAAGATGTTACTGCTTTTCATCTTACTGCTCCAGCATATATGAAACACAACTCCTACAAACCACAAAGAAGCATCTGACACAAAATTCCAGATAGTTTTGCTTTTCTCCATTGTCAGGTTGTCAACCATTTCTGTAAGACCTTCAGAAGTGCCAGGAAACCAAAACTACTTTCTGCCTTCCCATAGAAATTAGTAGTGTTTAGCAAATAATACACATTCACAGAAACCACCAGCTAGTACTATGTATATTCTAACTACTTCCTTCTACAAGCAGCATCCTTATCCCTTTGAGTTCACCTACCGACAGTGACTAGTAACACACCCTCCTGCTTCTTGCAGATACACCAATGCATTTCCTATGCCTGTAGGAAAAACCAACCAATAGTAGAAACCGGGGCCTATACAGCTGGGCTCAGCAAGCTAAGGTCTCACAGGTCCCTCCTGAATAAAGTAGACCTTATTGCCTGCTATTAATTGTTCTGTTTGATTATGGTCTGCATACATCCTTTTGGCAGCTGAGGCCTAAGCACAGGCAAGAGCGTTAACCATCTACAAAGTCACTACAAGCCTAGAAGCCGTCACATCAGCTCCACATCACTGGAGATTGCCCAGTCTGCAGACACGTGGCGCTGGTTGGTCTGCACTCACAAGCTGTCTCACTGGAACTAATTTGGAGATACTTTCACCCATATTTTCAACAGATAGTAAAATGTGCATTATGTACTATCAGTTACAAAGCCTATTGATTCATTGCACACAGCTCATGGAAACAGAGGTGGAAACTTATAAACGACTGCTCTTACACAGCCTCTCCTGCGACAGTACCTTATGCAGATTTTACATCTAATCGTAAAGCCTGCCTTTACGGTAAAATGTTCTCCTTAAGGCTACCTTAAATGTAGCAGCAACTTCAGTATGCAACCCAGCAGAATAGGGATAGCCCTCTGAATGTACACACGACTTGTTAAAAGTCCTGGTATCGTCTCTCCATTTGCTTTCTTTGCAAAAGAAGTGTTGGTTATGGATCTTGAAAACCTTGATTTAATATGGCTACAGGTATTTGTGAGACAGACATGACAGTTAAGGTCAGCTGGGACATATAAGGTGTCCATCTGCACTTTTTGTGACAACAGAAACGTGTCAGTGAAGGCTTTATTCTCTGACCCTTAACAGTTCATAGAAGTGTGAGTTTGGTGACCTTCAAAACAAAATACACCTATCTTCTTTACTACTTGATGAACTAATTTGTATTTCAAATTCCTTTAAATGAAGCACCTATCTGTCAGGATGACAGGCACTGTACAGAACTTGCAAAGAGAAAAAGAACTATATAAAGCAATCAGAGAAGCCTTTTATTCAGCTGCTACAATAAATGACAGATAGTCTCATTATGCAATTCCCCTGGCTCCTCTTAACATACCTGACCCCTAGAGCTGTATCACATGATTCATTACTATTGTAGTTTCAAATATTTTTCAAAAACAGTGCAGTAGTATCTTCTTGCAGTGATTTTGCAGTATTGGTCTTGGGCACAAGAACTGAAGATGCACAAAGCGCACATGCACATCTCAGATCGTTCAATGAGAACAACAAAAGGGATGGTGTGCAAACAGACTCTATATATATCTATAAAATATTTTCAACTTTATCATAAAATATTCTTGTAGAACAAATTAAAGAAAACATGTATTTGACAACACAATTATAATACCTTCTTATATTCAGATGGAAATCGTGCACAACCTTATTCAAAAGACTTTGCATATTTTGTTAAGTAACTAAGTAACTCATTAAGTGTTCTTGCATTAGCAAACTGGATTATATAGTGATGAATGGGAGGATAGTGTGAAAACAGCAAAAAAGACCCAGACATGGCTGTGATTTTACCTGTTGCCTCTTCTCAAATTCTAACTTGATACGGGATTTGATGCAGTTGCATGTGTCCTGATAGGTCTGCTGCAGCGCAAGTTCCATGAGGTGTTTGTGGTATGCTCCTGCCAAGTTTCCGCAGATAAAAATGATTACATTTGCCAGTATCTAGGGGGTTAAAAAAAAAAAAAGTCAGGAAATATATGTAAGTGAATTAGCAGAACATAATCCTAACCTGCAATGAAAGATTGCTGCATTTTGCTTTTGTTTGATTCTATAAAAGGTTTCCTTTCCAAAAGCCATCACAATTAGTGGCATAATCCCAAGCAATAATACCATTTTGATTTAGGTTTAAATAAGAATGATAATGAACAACATGTTTTCCTACTCAATGAGGCACACATTTTCTGAAAAAGAAATTCAGCTCATGTTCTGCATCCACTGCTGAGTATTTATTGGGTGGGATCATGATCTACTGATATAAAACAATAACTACAGCTCCTCATAACATCAGAGGCCATGTTATTGCCATGCTCTTCTGGCAAGACATTTTCTTTTGCAGTGCCATATGATTAAGGAGTGAAAAGTTCCACCTACATCAACAGCATGACCTGTATTTTACCTCAGCCTGACCCACTACTATCTGTCAGTCAACTATAAATATTAGCCTTGGGGATGGTAAGCAACATTTAATCAGTGAGATACGCTCTCTCTCTACTAGAATATACTTTTCACTACTACCGAAGAGCTGCATTTGACTAAAACTTAATCTGTAAGATTTAGGGTCAAATTTACAGCATTAGGTGCTCAGTGTACACAGCAACACATGAACAAGAAAAGTAAGTTTGCTTAAAGAATACTTTTATTTAGTAATGACCAGAAACATTTCAGAGAGTATAGAGAGGAGAGAGGCAGGACTTTCTTGTGCTTGAACTCAAAGGGACAGAATACTATGTGGTCATGCTAGTACTTTCAACTGCCCCCAGTTTACTGCTGCAAAAAAAGACCCATTTACCCATCCTAGCTCACCTAGAGCAGAAGAAACACAGTAATGAAACCAATTCTTAATCCAATGGAAAAAAGATACAGCTGAACCTGGTCAGAGCAGGTCTCTATCTGTAAGACCCTGGTGTATAAGGCCCTATATGACTATAGCCTGGATTACAAATACTACATGATGTCATAGTACACATAATCTGGAAGGAAAAGAGGAAGAAAAGAGGCTAAAATTTCAGTAGTTCTCCAAAGTTAATCTAATTATGAAGTTTATGACAGATTTCCCCAGTCATCATTCATTGGTTGGTTTTGGTGTACCTATGTAGCCGACAATCTTGAGTGAAAGAGCCAGAGATGACAGAAAAAAAAAGAACGACAGTATGTGATAGTGGTTCAGAGAAGAGATACATTTTTCTATTAACAGAAATCCATCTCTTTGATTTCACAGAACTGATCATCTCTTTTTATTCACCAAAAAAAAAAATATGGAGTTTTAATGCTTCTTTTATAAATGCACACTTTGAAATGAAAGTTTTAAAAGAATGGTTTTATTTTCCACACAAATTATATCATCACTACAGGCAATACCTGTTCATCCATCTGTGACATGTCTGATATCTCACCTCTCATGGTTCTTCTAAGCTAAAAACTAGAACTATACACCTTTGCCACAAAAAAGATAGATGTTTTAAATTTGATAAAACTT